ATAGGGCCTGCGCCTTACTGGCTTGGGCCCTAATAATAATAATAAATCAAAGCAACAATATGAAGCCACTCTGGGGGACTTTAAACCTGGTCTAACATGGAGGGACTTTTATTTTGGCAATGCATCGGCTGGTCTCCATGTTGTGTTTTCCTGTTCCGGTCTGCGTCTCTTTCAGTGCGGACCTACAGTCTATGGTGCGGACCTGTTGAATTCATGCGCTTTTCAGAAAAGACCGTGAATTTTCCATAATGAGGGCAGTTCCCACATGGATAGATAAAGTACACGACCGGGACAAGGTTGAGCAGTGGTAAGGCGCTTCATGGTTTTAGCGGTGTAGATGTGGTTAGCAACCGTTGCTATGTAAACAACAGAAGCATCGACGACCCATCTTGAGAGATACTAGTGATTTCTGCCTGTTTCTGTCGCTATTATATTGATAACGCAACATTTTGAGTCCGACATGACTGAAGTTTAGTGTGTAGCGTGTGTGTCTCATCCTGTCTGCAGCATCTATGACCTGGCCTTCAGACCCGACGGCTCGCAGCTCATAGTGGCGGCTGGAAACCGAGTTCTGGTAACAACACACCCCTCGCGCTGACAACACGCATTTCAGCCCCTTACCTCCGTCTTATTGTAGGACAAGTGCAGTAACCGTGGGGTTTTCTTTTGCCGGATTGATTCCCAATTGTATAACCACAGTTTTACTACAAGTGCCATGGTTAAACTATGGTTAGTGTAGCAAGAAAGACTATAGTTAATCTGTGGTTACCATCTTTTCAAATCTCGTATCACATTGTAAAGGCATTTATTTTCAATAAAAAATTAAGGAAATAATCAAAACGTTGAAAATAAAGTATCGGGTAGGGTTTGGGTAGGTGTAGGGAGGGCTTTATTGTAGCAATAAGGTGGCATCCATTTAATAATTAAAATTTAAATTATAATTTACACTCAATGCGTTATTATTGCATACTGTTTTATAATGTACTACAATACTGAAGTGCAGATAATTGCCACTATTTGCAACAAGTAGTATACTTGATAGTAGAAATCCTGCTATTTTAACAGTGTAAATAGCATATTGCTAAAAATACTGCTATTTTCACTTAGTGTAAATAGAATCCATTATATAAGGATACAATTGTACTTTATTGTACACTTTATTACTCGTTTTTTTAAATTAATTTATAAACAAAATAATTAAAAAGGGCAGAAAAATAGAAATACACATCTAAATTAAATGACTGAACAAAAAAATGAATAAAAGAAGTAATGTAGGAAATATGCTTCAAAGACTGGGGGAAAAAATCTATCAATGACCGAAAACCAGCCATGTATTGGACCTGGAGATAACGTCTCTATATTATATACTATAATAAGCCTATATATTTTTTATATGAAGTAAATTATATATTATTATGTAACGTATAATATTATACGTATAATATTGTATTATATCCGAGTATATCCTGCTGACTCACTCATAAAAACAGGCTCTTGTCACCATCTAATGGCAAAACAATGTAACTACAATCACCATCACGAACACGCAATGTTTTTCAAACACGCAAATTTTCAAATAGACATTATCTTTATTAACAAACTGCATATTTGAACTATAAACAAGTACATTCTCGCCTGAAAACCATTTAAAACTACATAAACACAAAAACAGTGCTATTTATAAAATGATACTGGATTTGGGCATCCGCCATGACACTCCCTGTAATTGTGTCAGTGTCTAAATATATATATGGACCTAACCGTGTGTGTGTATGTATATATATACACAGGTCAAATTTATGTATTTGGACACTGACACAATTTTCATAATTTTGGCTCTGTATGACACCAGAATAGAATTAAAAGTAGGGTGACCATACGTGCCATTTTCCCAGGACGCATCCTGGCTGTTTTGGCTTTGTTTTCCTGTTTTCATGCTTGCTGAAGGTAATGATCGAAAAGTAGTTTGACCAATAACATGCAAGCATTGTACATAATGGACCAATCTTGGCGTGTGAGAAGGTGGGATCTACGGTCAAAGCGATGCAATTATGCTAGGTGTGTTCGATTTAGAAGCAGTGCGGCTCAGACCGATCAGTGTTCGACATCAAAGTA